TAACAACATAATGTAACTTTTCTAATTAAGGCATTTCTAATTTCTAATTTGTTGTTTTTTTAGCTTGAATTTAATTTTATATACACTTTTGAAAAGCGAAATTATTTTATTTTGACTGTTTTTAGTTATTAGCACACAGCCTAGATGCAAGTAGCAGAAATGTTAGTTTCTTGGACCTGCCTCATTCCGTGTTATCATTGCCATCTCCATCTTGTAAAGAGCAAATGTGATCATTCTCTCAATCATCGCCATCACCATTTGAGAATCATCCAAAAAATCATCATTTCATTATCATTATAAACATCTTGCCATCGTCATCCTCATCGTCATCATCATCGTCATCATCATTCTCCTCATCATCATCTTCCTTATCGTCATCATCACTATTCGGTCTTTCCGAGATGAAAAGTAGCAGGAAAAGTTGAAAGGTGCACGATGAAACTTTCTCGAAAAAATAATTTTAATGAATAAAAATGAAATTTGTGAAAATCGAAAATGAAATGTGAGAAATTTTCGTTTGAATAATTAAAATTTCAAATCATGAAAAAGTAATTCAGTATTTTGTGCCTAAAAACAGGAAGAAAAAAAAGAAATTATAAATGGGATGCTTCTTACGATGTTAAGGATGAGGAATGAAGATAAATGGGAGAGTGAAGATGAAGGAATAATGACGATAATGATGATGATAACGACGACGATGATGATGATGATGTAAGTGATGGTGATGATGATGATGATGATGATGTAAGTGATGGTGATGATGATGATGATGATGTAAGTGGTGATGATGATGATGATGTAAGTGATGGTGATGATGATGATGATGTAAGTGATGGTGATGATGATGATGACGACGATGATGACGATGGTGCTGATGACGATAACATGTTGATAATGTAACTGCAGTTTATGCCTTTTATTCCAAGTGTCAAAACTGTATCAAAAGCAAGATTAATGTGATGATGACACACATGTACACCCTCGTACACACACACACGTACACACACATCACACAGACACACATCACGCGCACACAAACACATACATAGTCATAGGATATATTAGCCAATCAAATTGAAACAGACTATTGCGAGATTTTTTAACATTATTTGAATAATTTGAATTTCAAAAAGGGTATTACAAAACATCATTGGAGTGAAAAGATGAATAATTGGTCGGAATTATTTCGATTTCACATTCCAGTGCACCAAACGCTAAATAATTATTTCTTTTGTTTGCCTAAAACATGAATGCTCGCACATACATACAACATGAATGCACGCACACACATACAACACGAATGCACGCACACACATACAACATGAATACAGGTTTCTGTTGATATTTAACTGTCCGCTCTTCAGTTGATAACCGTTTTCTCTTAAGTGGCTTCTGGTCAATCTTTTTTTTAATAGCAATGAATGATTCAATTTTTTTGCTATCGTTATGCTCATACTTTCAATTACTTCGTTGGGTGACCCAACTTTGGCTCACCCTGAATTTCAATGCAAACACATATTTAGGATATTATGAAATAATCTCGGTTTCAAGAATTTCTTATAGTCTTCCTTGCAGACTTTAAAGGCCGCCATTGCAAAGTAACAACACACCCACCTGCTAGTGTCAAAGGAAGTCATAAAAATTTTTATGGCACGCCGAGTAAAAGTGAAACGAGGTCAAAATGGTGATGTGTTGAGTGGATTAAAAAGGATTTGAATGGAGTGGTGGATCTCAGTGGCGTCGACATTAACAACAACAGCAACAACAACAACGAAAACAACAACAACATTAATAATAATAACAGCAATAATGATAATGAAATTAATAATGGCAATGATAATAGCATTAGTAATAACAATAATATTTCTAGAGCAATAGATGATAGATAGATGAAACATATTTATTTGTGTAGGGGAACAAAAAACACAATCAATTATTTAATCAGTCAATCATTTAGCTTACAAAATTTTAGACCAAAACCTAAACCTCAATTCTTAAGTAATTAACTCATTCAATTAATAATTAACCTAACAAATTGGTCACGTGATCAATCAATTATCTCTTCAGCTATTCATCAAGTCAATCCATCCATCTATCAAGTCACTCCATCCATCCATCAAGTCACTTCATCCATCCATCAAGTCACTCCATCCATCCATCTACCAGTTAAAGGCAATCAACTGCGTTCATCCACTGAACGTGTTACAGGAAAACATTTTTTTGCTGATGTTTTCATCCATACATGCATGCATGCAAAAATACATACATGCATGCACTCATACATGCATATAGACATAAACATACACATACATAAATTCATACACACAACACAATGCATTTTTATTATACACACCTCTAAAACACACACATATACATGCGTAATTTCATATATTATAGCTGATATACAAACCCAAACACGCACACACACAAACAAACACGCACACACGCGCGCACACACAAATACATTTTTGTATGCTTTCAACGAGAGTATATATGTTTTTATAATATTAATAGTATGTTATTATATAGTGAAGTGAATTTTTATTTTGGGATATCATATTCATGGTGAAACATAATTCATATCGAGTAAATAATGCATGAAAACTCTGATATATTTTTAATTAAAAAGCAAATATTGAATATTTACGATGGTCAGCAATTTGGCTCAGTCGTTGCGCTGTTGTTATGCAGTGGCCTGCTACTAATACCATCTGTTCGATACTCAAAGACATAGTATCATAATGTACAATGTGTATGAATGTCGTGTGATCTGGATAGTATAGCCTATGTGTAATCTAAGTTTTATTATTAATGTAGAATTTAAGCAGTTCTGTGGATACTAGAGGGCAAAAAATCAAGTCAGTTTGACAAGATGGCTTAAAAGTAAGGTTGTCTTTGCGGTGATTGCGTTCAAATGTAAAGAAATCTCTGCCTGAGCCGTGTTATGTGTGTGATGCGTGAGTTCACACGCCCTATGTATTGTCTGTTGTGGCTGCTATTTCTGAGATTTAATTGAAAAATATTTTATAATAATTATTATTATACAATAAAATGGTAAATTATAATTAAATTGTTTATGTTTTTATTTATATTTACAAACTTATTTGCCAATTCATTCATCTTTCAATTTGCTATCACGGTCATTAATATATATAAAAGAATATCCACATGCTAAATAATTTAGCGGCTGGCTGGCTGGCTGCTCAGTTGTCACCTGTTCTGCTACTCAGTCTCATTCATTTATCGTCTTATTCATTCGTTTGTTTGTTTGTTCTTTCGTTCGTTCATTCATTCATTCATTCGTTCGTTCATTCGTTCGTTCGTTCGTTCATTCGCTCATTCATTCATTCATTCATTCACTCACTCAACGGAAGCAGTAGACTTCAAAAAATAAAATAAAATGTCGTATATGAAAGTTTTGAAACATGACTTTTTAGAGAGCAAAATGACATCTACTTGGCTTTGGGCTTCAGAATTGACATAAAATAAATTGTTCGGAAAAGTGACGGAGTGACGGAAAGTGATGGGGGGCTGGAAAACTATCTTCCGTTGTGAACAGAATTTTTATTCAAAGTCACTAAAACTCAGTTTTTACCATGGAGAACACCACTTTAAGTAGAAAATCAAAAAATCGAATTGACTAAAATTTAACTCCATATTGCAAAAAAATGTCGCCAGGCTACAAGTTTTAATCTTTTAACGTTTTTTTAACTTTGTCCCTCTACCCACAACCGCGTCTGGCTCGATCGGGATTTTAAACAATTCGAGCCACGTTAACATATACTTTTCAATGGAAAGCCCAGCCGACCGATCTGGCATATGTTGTCATGTTTGGCCCAGAAATCACAAGTAATTACAAAAAGTAAGAACATAAATGCTTTCATAGTTAAAATAGAGAAAAATATGTAGTTATTTATTTAATTAGTTAATCCTTTTCCACTTATTTGCATAATAGTATGAAACATTTTGTACACTGATAAGAGCGTACACGCACAGGTACACAAGGACTTCGTACGCCGGAAACATTTGATGTGGATACAAATCAATACAGCCTGTTGTTTCAAAACTTGTATGTTCCGTTGTATTGTGTTGTGTGTGCTTGTTTGTTTGTTATGTGTTTGTGTTGTGTATGTATGTTTATTTGTTATATGTTTGTGCTGTGTATGTATGTTCGTATTTGTTGTTTGTTTGGTTGTGTATGTATATTCGTATTTGTTGTATGGTTGGTTATGTATTTATGTTTGTATTTGTTGTATGTTTGGTTGTGTATGTATGTTCGTATTTGTTGTATGTTTGGCTGTGTATGTATGTTTGTATTTGTTGTATGTTTGTGTTGTGTATGTATGTTCGTATTTGTTGTATGTTTGTGTTGTGTATGTATGTTCCTATTTGTTGTATGTTTGGCTGTGTATGTATGTTTGTATATTTTATATTTTATATGTTAGGTTGTACATAGGTGTTACATAAGTTGTAACAACAAAAATTGTTGAAGTATAATAATAGTTAAAGTTATATTAAAAGTTAACATTATCAAAAAACTATACAATATTTTGTGTAAATTATGGTAGTTTGATTATATTTGGTGATATTGTTAGTGTTGCATGTTGTTTGTT